GAATAGCCTCATTTTGTTTTTACCCCCCCCCCCCCCCCCTTACAGCACCGCTTGGCCGCCGGGGCTGTGCGCCGCGCGTGGGCATGCACACGGCCCGCCCCCCGCCAGCCCCCTTGCTGCCGACACGCAGGCAGCGGCGGCGCAGGCAGCGGCAGGCGGTGCAGGGCATCAGCATTGATGACGACGGCAGGCAGCCGCAGGCCGGCAGCCGGCTCACCCATCTGTGAGCGGCTCAGCAGCGCCTGAAGCAGGGCCTCGTAGTGCGGGTGCGCGGGCAGCTGCTCGGCAGCTGCCCGTACAAGCAGTACCAGTAGCGCCTCGATGCGGCAGCCCTTGGCGCTGAGCGCAGACAGGTGGTCCACCAGGCCCGCCACCTGGCAGCAGGGCAGGGATGGGCGGGGGCAGGAGCAGGGGCGGGGGTGCAGCTTGGGGTAGGCAACCAGGCATGGCAGGCAGGCAGGGAGGCAGGCAGGCATGGCAGGTAGGCATGGCAGGCAGGCAGGCAGGCAGAGGCGTGTCCCCGGCGCAACAACGTGGCAGCCGGCGCAGGCGGGGAGCTCCCGCCTGGTCACACGGTACTGGAGGGCACGGTACTGGCAGGCAGGCCGGCGTGCGGGCGTGGCCCCCAGAAGCGGTCTCAAGCAGCAGGCGCGGTCCCCAGCCCCGCAGCAGGAGGGCAGCCCCTGCAGGCCGCCCACCTTTGCGAGGTGCCTGAAGGCCTGCGGCGGCAGCGTGGCCAGGTGCTGCTGGCTGTTGGCCAGGTGCGCCAGCAGGATGACGGCTGATCCCAGCAGGGCTGGGGAGGCGGAGCGGCTCGTCTCCGTCACCAGCACTGCAGCAAAGGAGGAAAGCGCAGGGGGGACCAGGGCCCGGGAGGGGGGAGGCGAGCGCTGAATCAGGAGCTGGGCAAGGGAAGCAGGGGCAGGGTGAATGAGGGACCCAGAAACCCTAAACCCCTTTCATTGGAGGAAACATTGCTGGGTGGGAGTGGGAGGGGAGGGGAGGGGAGGGGAGGGGAGGGCCCGGTTGGGGCGATGGTGTGCGGCGCGCAGGTGCACCGCTGGCCTGCATCGGCTCCAGGAAGGCCCAGCGCCCGCGCGGCTCCAGCCGCAGGACCTGCACCAGCCGCACAAACTGCTCGGTCTCGTGGTATGGCAGCGCCGCCGCCATCAGGTCGTCCACGTTACGCTCGTGCACCCTGCAGGGGCGGTGGACAAGGGTGCGCGGCGGCGGGGGTGGGCGGCAGGGCGCGGGGAGGCGGCAGCGGGGCCGATTGGCAGCGCCCGGCCGTGGGCAGCGACCTGAGGAAACAAATTTGGGGAGAAGCCAGGGGTCCGTCGCCGAGCGGTGGCGCCCCAGGCCGCAGAGCCGATGCATGCCCCGAAACCCCGCCCTGCGCCGCCCCGTCCCGCCCCTGTACTGCTCACTTGTACTGGCGCACGAGGAACTCCAGTGCCTTGAACGCAGGGGCCAGCAGGAAGTAGGAAGACAGCAGGGCGCAGAAGCCCGCCACCGCCGCGTCCAGCCGGGCGTTGACCTCCTGGGTGGCGGCATCCCGGTCCAGCGCCTGGCTCGCCTGCCCGAACAGCGTGCGGCGGTAGGCCTGGAAGCGGCCGTCCAGGGCGCACAGCTGGTCCAGGCCTGCGGCGGGCGAAGCGGACAACAGAGGGCGGCACGCGGCGGCGGGAGGTGAGGGCGGCGCGACGGGGGCAGCTGCGCGGCGCGGCGCGGCGCCCGGCGCCAGCGGCGGTGCGCTGTCGAGGCAGGTATGCCTGCACGAGGCGGTACTGGCTGCACAGTGCAGTGCCCAGGCTGGCGCCCGGGCCACGCAGCGAGCAATGGCGGCGGCGGCGGCGGCGGCAGCGGCGCATGTGGCATGCCGTGCGCTACCCGGCCGCGGGCGCACCCGCAGGCACTCACCCTCCAGCCCGATCCTGTAAATGGTCTCCCCATCGATGTCGGCGGCCTCCTGGAAGGTGTAGAGCAGGCTGGCCTTGCCCAGGTGCCGCCGCCCCTGATCCACGTGCTGCCTCACCGCCAGCTGCTGCAACTGGGCAGCCAGGTCGGTGCTGGGCTGCACGGCCTTGGCATGGCCAGACGCCATGTTTTTGGAGGCGCGTGAACACGTTGCCTGCGGACTCTACAACGAAGCCCTCATTGTTCGCGGGGTGATTGGGCAATGCATGCATCCGAATGCGCACAAGAGCCCTGCTGAAGTACGGATGTACAGACGAGACGCGAGGAGGCTGGAATCGATGCAGGGAGGAGGGAACTCGTCCCAGGCAGGTAACACGCCTCCATTGTGAGCCGCCCGGCCGTCGTCAGCTGGGCACAGCTGATTGTTTGGAGCTCCCGGCCTTGAGACTCCGCCTGGCGGCTCGCTTCGGGCGCCTGGAGCGCATTTGAATGTTGGGCGCGGGTACAGGGCAAGCTGCGGCCTCCGCGACACCCTGAAAACCGTTATTGGCGCCGGAGCCTCCCGTCACAGCACCGAGGAGGCGGCCCCAACAACAGAGAGAGGCCCGGCGGAGGCGCCCAGAATGGCGGCAGCACGCCTGTCCAAGGGCACGGCGGTGTGGATAGCGGGCGGCAATGGCGCCGGCTGGCAGCGGGGCTCCGTGGCGGCGGTGGACGGCGCCTCGTGCCGCGTGGCCCTGGACTGCGAGCTGGGGCAGGGGGCAGGGCCCGTGGTGACGGTGCCCCTGACAGCCGTGGAGCCCGCCAACCCCACCCTGCTGGATGGCGCAAGGTGCGGCGGGTGGCGGCGCGCACCACCGTTTTAGGCCGCTCATATGCCGCCGCTGCCGCATGGAACTCTGGACGCCTGCAACTGCTTCCGGGGCTCCCATGCTCCTCGGCAGCCAGCTGCCGTGTTTAACGCGCGGCGGCGGCCCTCGCCCCGCCTGCTCTGTGCCGCGCGGCGGCCTCACTGGTCGGCACTTGCCGCATCTAACGTATGTACTTCACATCAGTATCACTTTGTGTTCCACTGCCGTGCAGCGACCTCACCCACCTGTCGTACCTCAACGAGCCCGGCATCCTCCACGTGCTGCGCCATCGGTACGGCGGCGATACCGTGTACACCACCGCCGGCCCCGTGCTGGTCGCCGTCAACCCCTTCAAGGCGGTGCCGCTTTACGGCCCAGAGGCGGCGCGACACTACAGCCGCCGCGGCAGCGAGGAGGCCGCCGACAGCTACGAGCCGCACGTCTTCCTGACTGCCGACCAGGCGTACAAGCAGGTGGACTGCTGGGCGGGGCAAGGGCAAGCAGGGGGGGGCCGCCCCAGGCCCCGGCAGCCCCACCTGTTTTAGGGCTGTGCGCGTGGGCGCACGTGTGTGGAGCCGCGCCGCGCCTGTGCTTGGTGTATCTCTGCCCAGCAGGCCCGCCCTTCATCCCGTGACGCTGGGCGCCCCCCTACCTCTGTCGCCATCTAGCGCCGGTGCCATGTAGCGCCAGCGCCGGCATCCAGCGCCACTGGGTGGGCCCTCCTCCCCTCCCTTCCCTCAGATGCCTTTCCTCCTTTCCTCTCCTTTCCTCCTTTCCTCCCGCAGATGGTGGCCCTCAACCAGTCGCAGAGCGTGCTCATCACGGGAGAGTCGGGGGCGGGCAAGACGGAGAGCACCAAGAAGATGATGAAGTACCTGGCGGCGCTGGCAGGCGGCACGGGCATGGAGGTGCGGCAGCTGCCCGGCAGCTGCTGCCGCGGTGGAGGCGGGCGGCGTGTTCCGCCCAAGTGCTGCCTGCTGCCCATGCCACCTCCGCTGGCCACCGCCTGGGGTGGTGGATAGGTCGGCGGCGGCTGGCGCAGGTGGAGGGAGAGGAGGCGACGTGCATGTGGGGTCCCTTGCCGGCGCCACGACTGTGTGCTCACACGCCTGCCTCCCGGGGGGGGCGTGGGGCGCAGGATCGGGTGCTGCAGACCAATCCGATACTGGAGGCCTTTGGCAACGCCAAGACCATCCACAACAACAACAGCAGCCGCTTCGGCAAGCTCATAGGCAAGTGCGGCGGCGTGCGGCGGCTCCCTGTGACGCCGGCCCTGCTGCTGCCCTGCTTTGGCATGGCCGCTGCTGCGAGCCTTGCATGCGCCCCCGCTCAGTACCGCTCAGTACCGCACTTTCTCCGGCTGTCGTCCTGCCACCCCATCTGTTGACCTTTTCTGTTCTTTTTGTTTTTGCGTTGCAACCCTGGCTCGGCTGTTGCCTGCAGAGATCTACTTCAACCGCGGCCACAGCATCTGCGGCGCACTCACCCACACCTACCTGCTGGAGAAGTCGCGGGTGGCGCACCAGCAGGCGGGCGAGCGCTCGTACCACATCTTCTATCAGGTGGGTCGCAAGGATGGGCAGGGAGGGAGCAGAGAGGGAGCAGCGAGGGCGTGAGGGGCATGGGGCGATTTCAGGCCAGATCAGGCGAGGGAGGAGGGCACGGAGGGAGGGAGGGAGGCAGGCGGGCACTTAGAGGGCAGGAATGTTCTGATGCCGCCGGAGCAGAGCCCTGCCTGGATATGCCCTGTTGGCATGCTGCCCACCGGCCTTCCCCTGGCAAAGGTTGGCGCCAGCCGCCGCGCCCACTCCACCCCACCCCACCCCTGCGCCTGCGCTTGTGCAGCTGTGCCGTGGCGCCTCGGATGAGGAGCGCCAGCTGTACCTGCTGCCTCCAGCCGCCGACCTGGCCTCCTTTGCCTACCTCTCCGGCAGCGGCTGCACCACCATCGCCGACATGGACGACGCTGCAGAGTTTGGGCGGGTCAAGCGTGCGCTGGCCGCCGTGGGCATCGCCCCGGAGCAGCAGCGGGGCCTGTTTGCGCTGCTGGCCGCGGTGCTGTGGCTGGGAAACGTGCGCTTTGCGGCGCTGCACGAGGACGCTGTGGAAGTGGAGGCGGGCAGCATGGGCGCGGTGGGCGCGGCGGCGGCGCTGCTGGGCTGCGGCGAGGCCGCGCTGGTGGCGGCGCTGACCACGCGCCGCATGCTGGCCGGCGGCGAGCGCATCACCCGGGAGCTTAATATGGAGGCAGCACTGGACAACCGGGATGCGCTGGCTAAGGCCATCTATGCCACCCTCTTCAAGTGGCTGGTAGAGCAGGCGAGAGTGGTGTGGCATGGGGTGGGGTGTGGGGTGGGGCGTGTGCGCATCCCGGAGGGTGCGCATCGGCGGGCCGGTGCCTGCGGCAGGCGTTGGGGGGACTGGCATGGGTGGGCGCTGCAGAGCGGCTTGCCCCGGCATCAGCATCCCGGTTTGCCTGCCGCCGCCGCCGCCGCTGCCCGCAGATCAATGCCGCGCTGGCGGTGGGCAAGCAGCAGAGCGAGACCACGCTGAGCATCCTCGACATCTACGGTGGGGGGCTGCCTGCTGTGGTGGCTCGCAGTACCGGGACCAGCGCGCCAGCCAGCGACAGGATCGGGGAGCGGCATGGGTCGGCCCTGAGCGTTGCGACTACAGGGCTGGGGATGGGCCGCCCCTGAGCGTTCCATTTACATTCCTGAAAGCCCGCCGCCTGCAGGGTTTGAGCAGTTCCAGGAGAACAGCTTCGAGCAGCTGTGCATCAACTATGCGAATGAGCGGCTGCAGCAACAGGTGCGCGCCAGATCCTGCACATAGTTCCTGCACATAGATACTGCACATCGATAGTGTGTTGCAGCCCCCCCGCTGCGATGGGCCGAGTGAGCAGACCTGGGGCAGGGGGCACACGTGTCGAGGGGCTCTGGGAGTGGGCCAGGGGTCGCCCAGGCTGTGCCGCAAGGAGGTCGCCGACTCTGGCCGCTCGGGTGCCCCCCGGCCCCACCTCCTCCACTGCTGCCCCGGCCTATCGCCCCTGCTGCCGCCGCTTCAGTTCAGCAAGCACGTGCCTCCCCCTCTGTCGCGTGCCTGCAGTTCAGCAAGCACATGTTTCGGCTGGAGCAGGAGGTGTATGAGTCGGAGGGGATCGACTGGGCTCACGTCGAGTTTACAGACAACCAGGCAGGGAGGAGTGGGATGCAGAGCACCATCTGCAGAGCGCCATCCTGTTTCTTTCTTGCTTGCCTGCCTGCTTGCCTGCCTGCTTGCTGCTTGCTTGCTTGCTTGCTTGCTGTGCCGTTGATTCTGGCTGTGGGTGGGCGTGTTGCCTTGTGGCAAAGCTTGCGGCGCGGGCCCCGCCCTTGGGTGCAGGACTGCGTGGATTTGATAGAGGCGCGGCCGCCGGCGGGCGTGGGCATCCTGTCGATGCTGGATGAGGAGTGCATGGTGGGTGGGGCGAGGCACTCTGGGGCCAGCTGGCGCCGGCTGCTCGCCTGGCGGCTTCATGTGGTAGCAGCTGGGGACAGACAGCAGGGTTGCAGGCAGCCGCCCCACGCTCCAGCTGCCCGGCAGGCATGGGTGACGGTTGCCAGGCTACACCCTTATCGCCGCTGTGCCTGCAGATGCCGCGCGGCAGCGACGCCACGTTTGCCGCCAAGCTGCAGCAGCACCACGGCGGCCACCCGCGGTTTGCCTACAACACCAAGGCCCCCGCCGCCGACTTCACCGTGCAGCACTATGCTGGCCCCGTCACCTACTCCGCCGCCAAGTTCCTTGACAAGAACCGGGATACGCTCAGCAAGGGTGGGTGAGGGCGCCAAGAGTGCAGAAGCAGGGGGTGGTCCTGGGCAGCTTGTATTGGGCTGCATGCATGGACAGCTGCCGTTAGCCTTTTAACAGCTGCCTTTAACCCTTGGGCTGTGACTTTGAGAGTGAGCTGCGCTCACGTCGTCTGGTGGTTAAAATTCAAGCAGGTGTTAAGGTGCCCTGCTGCGCCCCTCCTCGCAGACCTGGTGGCGCTGCTGCAGGCCTCGAGCGCGCCGCTGGTGCAGCGCCTGGCAGCCGAGATGGAGCGAGGGCAGGAGCGGCGGGGCAGCCAGACGGTGGGGGCACGCTTCCGGGACCAGCTGCGAGACCTGATCCAGCGCCTGGACGCGTGAGTGTGCTGCTGCTTTCTCTCTTTCTTCACTGCTGCTTGCACAACAGCTTGCTGCTGCGACGGCGTGTTCTGCTGCCGTGGCAGAGGGCTCACCAGGGCTCGTCAACAAAATTTGGCTACGAGGCTGTGGCGACCTGAGCCGTCCCGACTGCCATGCGCCGTGCCACGTGCAGCACCGCGCTGCACTTTGTGCGCTGCATCAAGCCCAACAGCCAGCAGGTGGCGGGCGCCTTTGGCGCGCCGCTGGTCCTGCACCAGCTGCGCTGCTGCGGCGTGCTGGAGGTGGCTCGCATTGCGCGGGCGGGATACCCCACCCGCCACCTCCACCACGAGTTTGCGGCGCGGTACAAGGTACTGCTGCCGGAGCTGGGGCCAGGTGCGCGTGGTGCATCTGGATGGGCCAGCGCCAGCGGCCTGCCGCTTCGCTAGTTGCTGGTGGTGGTGGGGGGGGGGGGGGGGCAATGCCCGCATGCTGCGCCTGCTGTGCCATCAATCCTTCCCCCTTTCGCTACACATCGCCGCACCATACCACCATCGCCACATCGCCGCACCTGGATGCGTGTGCCCTCCGTCGGGACAGTGAGGCCTGTACCGCTGTGCCGTACCTGCTCGCAGGCCCGCTGCCGCCGGGCATCAGCGCCCTGGACGTCTGCAGGCAGCTGCTGGCCCACTTTGATGTGGATGCCTCCCAGTACCGCATCGGCCGTACCAGGCTGTTCTTCAGGGCGGGCATGCTGGGGCAGCTGGAGGATGCCGCCGCACGCATGCAGAGGTGCGGCCCTGCCTGGTGGATACTGGTGGATACCCCTCTCCTGCTACCTGCTACCGTGTCTCGCTCGGCAGCAGAGCTTGGCTAGGGGAAAGCGCGCCCTGGCCTCGACGTTGCACACCCCCTGCCTTGCCGCTGCAGGTCTGCACTGTGTATTCAGAGCACCTGGCGCATGGCCCGCTGCCGCCGGGCTTTCCTGCGGTCCCGCCGCGCGGCGGTGTGCATCCAGGCGCAGTGGCGCGGCTGCTGCGGGCGCGCCCGGTTTGCCCAGCTGCTGCTCCAGCACCGCGCGGCGGCGCGCATCCAGGCCGCCGCGCGCGGCTGCGCGCAGCGGCGGCGCTACCAGCGGGCGCTGCTGGGCGTGGTGGCAGTCCAGGTGGGCGGGCGAGTCAGAGCTAGGCACGGTGGTAACCACACGTGTGGGGTGGGATGCCAGCCCCTCCCTCTCTTTAGGTGCTGCCGGCAGCGGCTGATGGCTTGCCATCGCTGCGCCGACCCCGCTCGCGACCCGCTGGCAATGCCTGCCGTCATGCTTTCTTCCTGCAGATGGCCTGGCGCCGGCACGTGGTCAAGCAGCACGTGGCTGCCCGCCTGGCTCTGCGGCGCGAGGCGGAGGCGGCGCAGCGGGCGGCGACAGAGGCGCAGCAGCGGCAGGAGGAGACGTTTGAGGTGGGCTTTTTTTTTCTGGCTGCGCTCTGCTCCTTGTGAATGAAGCCCTGAGGAGTTGGGCAATGTGCCGCTCAGTTGCCCATGTGGCCATGTGTTGGGGGCCGCAGTTGGGGCCCGCTGCTGTGCGGTGCAGCTCTGCCTTTGCCCATGTGGCCATGTGTGGATTGTGTGTGCAGGCAATACAGCGTGACTTTGGGATGGATGCCGGGGACATCCGCCGCGTGCTGGGGCTGTGGCAGGTGCAGCGTCGGCGACACCGCATGGCGCTTTGGCCGCCTGCACGCACACACCCACATACTTCCTGAAGCCCGCAGCGAGGCCTGCCTCAAGTCCCTCCTCAGTGCCGCTGCCTTGTGATCGGCCGCATGCTGCAGGAGCACGGCACGGCATTCATGCAGTGGCGCCAGCAGCCCGGCCGCAGCGCCAGCTCGCAGGCCGCGGCGGCGGTGTGCTCTGACGACAGTGGGCTGCTGCTGGAGGCTGCGGCGGCCGGCGTGGATGCGCAGCAGATGCAGTCGCGGCTGGAGGGCCTGCAGGAGTACTGCCACAGGCTGGAGCGGCAGGTGGGTGGCCTGGCAGCCGGCGGCGGCGGCACCCACAGGGAGGGGCTGCCTGCGCCGCTATCGGCCGTCGCGTGTAGCGGTCTCCGCCGCTGGAGGCACGGCAGCCGAGTCCCAAGCTCCCTTCTCAGGAATTTCATGTTGGGAGTGCTGTGGCCTTTCCAAAGGCGGTCTCCAGGTTGTTGGAGGCCCTTGACCGGCTCCCATGCCCCAGCAGGACAGCCAGCCTTTAGAGGCCCTGCTCCCCGCCTCTTCCCCCGCAGGCCGACAACTTGCGGGAGGAGAACCAGCTGCTGCAGCGGGCCGTGGGGACGCTGCAGGGGGTGGTGGAGGAGTGGGCAGACACCGCCACTGCCGCACACTGCCGCGCCCTGCTGGCCGGCATCGCCGGCAGCCCGCGCAAGCAGCAGCAGAGGCCGCCGCGCCTGCAGCTGCCCTCGGCGGCCGTCGGCGGGGAGGCGGCGCACCTGGCGCTGAGCAGCGCGGGCAGCGGGCGGCCGCCGCGGCCGCTGCAGTCGCACTTTGCTGTGCACGCCGATGCCTCCTCCCCCGCCACCGCGCCCACGGTCCGCGCCCTGCACGGCGAGGGCGTGCAGCAGCAGGGCCGGCGGGCCGCGGGCTGCAGCAGGGATGGCAGCAAGCTTGCCGCCGCGGAGGAGGAAGATTCAGACATCAGCTTGATGGTGAGCACGCTTGAGAGGCGGCGCGGGCCGCGTGGCCCCGCATCAGAGGGACGGCAGGTGGTGCTTTGTGCACGCCCCCCTTGCCTGCATTGGCTCCGGTTGCTTGGTCTGCCGGTCAGCATCTCCGCTGCCTGGCTGCAGAGCCTGAACGACGGCGACAGCTTCACCACCGACAGCCAGAGCCTGGGCGCCGCCGCCAGCACGCCTACCGCGGCGTCGTTGGCGGTGGGCTGCCGCCGCCCGCCTCTGCCCGCAGCCCGCATGCCTGCCTCCTGTCTGGGAGCCGTGGACGTGCAGTGCCGGTGGCCTGCGGGCTGCTCAGCGGAAGAGAGGGCAGGCGTATGTGTAGTGGGCGCCATGAAAAGCTCATCATTGATCGTGTGCTTCCCCACCACCTGTGCAGGCGGCGCGTACGGAGGGCAGCGATGTGGTGGGCATGCTTGGGCGGGAGTTTGACAAGGTGGGTTCCGCAGGCACCCTGCCTGCTTGCATGCCCTGGCGGAAGCCGCCTACCGCCGTGCCACTCGCCTGCCGGAAGCTGCCGCCATCGCCGCCTGCCCAGCGCAGCAGCAGGGAGCGCCTGCAAGGTCTTTGGTGCGCACACAGTTGAGCGGCTTGCACCCCACCCCACCTTTTGCCCTTCGCTGCCCTGCCCTGCTGCTTGTGTGCAGAAGCGGGCCCTGCTGGACGATGATGCCGACTTTATTCGGGAGGTGGGTAGCCGCCGCTGGGGCCAGGCCAGCTGGGCCAGCAGGCAGGGAGGCGTGGCACGGATGGAAGGTCTGTGGGGCTGGAAGGTCCACCCACGCCTGCTGGTTGCTGGGCTTTTGGCCCACACACCGCCCACCACCGCCACCCCCTTTGCCAGCGCTGGCACCTCCACAGCTTGCCAAATCGGGGTGGTCTCTGCGCTTTCCACCCCGGGTCACGTGCATAGGCACACTGGCCACCCGCCTCGGGCTGCTCACTGTGCTGGGGCGGCCATGCGCTCGCAGGTGGGCTCTGGCGTGTCTGCGGCGCCTGGCATGGACCCCAACCTTGAGCTGGACAGGCTGCTGGCACGGTACCGCACCTGGAAGAAAGAGTTCAAGGTGGGAGTGGGTGTTGGGGGTGGCAGGAGCAGGAGGGAGCAGCTTCCGTGGTGGCCGAGAAGCTGGGTGTTTGCGCCCGCTTGGATACTTGTCCATGCCGCGCTGCGCTTCTCTGGCCCTGCACTCAACTCTCGCCGCTGCAACGCCTGCCGCAGGAGCGGCTCAACGGCACGCAGCGTGTGATCAAGCAGCTGCGGCGGGAGGAGAAGCGCATGGCCGGATACACTGGGGGAGTGGGCAGCTTCACACAGAGCGGGCTCAGCGGCAGCAGCGCCGCGCACCTGCACCCTCGCAGCGACAGCGGCGTGCGCGGCGCGGCGGCGTCTGTGAGCGGCAGCGAGGACGGCAGCCGCACCAGCCGCACGTCGCGGATGCTGTCGCACTTCAAGACGCGCAGGGGGTGACGTACTCTTCTCTGATCTCTTACATTCGTTTCTAGTCACCTACGCTTTGCATGCCAATGTAACTCTCGAGCCCAGCTGAGAGCGAGGGCGCCGGCGCCGTGACGCCCTGCTGGCGCCGCGGGTGGGCATCCCTCGCTCTCGCCTCCCATGGTGCGCCGCCTTCATCACATCACCTACAACAGACCAACAATTCACTGGCAGAGAGAACAGCGGGCCAGGCACTTGTTTGACCGAAGTAGCGCCAAGTATGGCGAGTCGTAGCCCGCCGGACGACTATGCGGACTACTTGATGCGCCTCTATGGCGGGGAACAGGTGCCGGAAGGAGACGTGCTGCCCGCTCCAGGCACATGGCTGCGCGCGCCGTGCCGTGCGCAGGGCGGCCAGCCAATTCACTCACTGCTAACGTCTATTCATCCGCGGAATGTGCTGCTGCAATGCAGGAGGGGCAAGGCTCCGAGCTGAGCCGCCCAACCACCGCCTGCGCGTCGGTGGGTCGGCGGCGCCGCCCTCACATGCTGCCTGCAGCCGCCAGCAAGCTGCAACATGCTTTCATGCAGTGGTCCCTGCCACCTGCAATGCAGATAGACACCACGCCGCAGCGGCGGCCGCCGGCGCGCACGCTGAGTGCAGCGGAGCGCCTGAGCCGCAACAGAGCTGCCAAGCGGGCGACCACCGACGTCACACTGTTCAACCACCTAAGCTCAATGCATCACATGAACCGCAGAATCTACGAGCTCTATAGCAAGGCCGGCCTGCTGGGCCAGGGGGGCGCTCGCGGGGCGCGCCAGCGCCCGGCCGCCGCGGCGTACGGCGTGCCGCCACCCAGCGTGGCAGGCGTCAGCCGCGCCCTGTCGCCCACCAGGTGACCCGGCTGTGGTGCCCGTCCCTGTGGGCTCCCCTGCCTCCTCATGCTTAAAATCGAGTGCCTTTGTTGCTTGGAAGGAAGGAAACATGGGGCGGACGCTCACCCCGACCTGTGCCGAAATTGTGCAGCTTGGTGCGCAGCGGGCCCGCAAGCAGGCCTGCCACGGCGCCCGGCGGCGGCAGCGCGTTTGCGCAGCAGCAGCAGCAGCAGCAGCAGGCGCACGGGGTGGCGGTGCCGGTGCATCGCACGGCAGCAGCGGCCGCGGGCCGGCCCGAGACCGCGCCGCCGCCGCCGCCGAGCTTTGTGAAGCGGCACGTGCAGAACACGGCGGCCGCGCTCAAGACGGGTGAGTCGCGCCTGCGGGGTGGTGGACTGGCTGGCTGCAGGCTGCTGCAGCCTTCCTGCTGCGCGTGCTGCCGCCGCCGCCTCTGGTGTGCTGGAGCATGCTGCTCTCTCCCCCCTTTCCCCTGTCCCCATCACCCACCTGCTGGCTTCCCCGCTGACTCCCATGCTCCCCGAAACCTCCGCTGCCCCCAATAACTCCGCTGCTGTGCAACACCCTCACCCTGCTATGCAACATCTCCCTCCTCCCAGCCATCCTGGACGAGATCTGCGAGCACCGCATCTACGAGGGCGCGCGCCTGCGGGCGCTGCTGCGCTCCTACCTCAGCCTCAACGCGGACCAGCCCTTCTACCCCACCCTGGTCAGAGTGTGCGAGGAGCTGCGCTGCGAGCTGGGTGTGGCCTGATGCGGGAGCGCCTCGCCCTGCTGCGGCTGTCTGTGCTGCCGTCGACGTTTCTGAAACTTTGTTGACTAGGGACGACGATGAGCGTTGCCCCTGCTGTTTGGTCTGCTTGGTCAGCGGGCTTCTTCCTGCTGGTTTTCCGCCTGATGTAAGATGATTTGTGGCCTGGTTGCTATCGTCAAAAGAGGCGGGTGCTTGCCGGGACTCCCGCACGTGCCTCCCCATCTGCCGCCCAGTTGGCGCCGGCGTGTCGGGTTGCACTCCAGATGATCATTGGGACTTGTGGGAGGTGCACAGTCGTGTCTCTGGTATTGCCGCTGCTTCGTTTTGCGCCTGCACTCGTGCAGAGCAATGGGCAAGCGCAAGGCAGGAGAGGAGCAGCGAGCCACGCGTGGGCGGCGATCAGCTCGGGTAGGCAAAGAGGTAGCCAGTGCGATAGAGGCCGCCTGGGGTCTGCAAGTGACCGTGTCGGGCAGCTCCACAATGCCGTTCCCAGTGCCCTGCCCGCTGCTCCCTCGTACATGCAGATAACGCACCAGGAGTCAGGCCCAAGTGCAGAGCACCAGCGGCGGGGCGACCCGGCTGGGCGCCCTGCCGGCGGCCGCCGCCAGCACGCGCCCGGCGGCGCCCACCAGCAGGATGCGCAGCAAGAAGAAATTGTGATCGACAGCGACAGTGATGTGGTGGAGATAGGCGAGCCCGCACGCGCGGATCGGCAGCTGCAATCATCAGCGGGGCCGGGGGCGGCAGCGCCACCGCGGCCGGCTGCCCCGGCTGCACCCAGGGCAAACCAGCCGATGCGCGGCAAGCGTGCGCTGCAGGAGCCGTTGAAGGCACCGCAGCAGCAGCAGCAGCAGCCGCAGCCGCAGCCGCCATCTGAGCAGCAGCAGGAGCAGCAGCCGCAGCAACCGCCGCCGTCTCAGCCGCAGCAGCAGCGGTCGCCGGGGCCGCGGCCGTCGCCGCCGGCCCCCAGGCAGCAGCAGGCGGGGGCCGCCTCGGCGCCGGCGGCCAGGGCGCAGCAGCAGAGCAAGAGCAGGAGCAAGGGCAAGGGCAGGAAGCTGCCTGCCTTTGACCCCTCCCCTGCCGAGGTTGAGGCCTGCTTCCAGCAGCTGGCAGAGGGGCGCAGCACCATCACCATCGCCACCATCCAGCAGGCAAGCAGACCTTCCAAAAGAGTGCCCCTGTCTGTTGCACGCCCCTCTTGCTCGAGAGGGTTTGCTGCCCGCATGTCAGCAAGAGCGAAGCTTGCAGCGCATACTTTCTTACTCCCCACACGTCGGTGTACGCCTGCTGCATGCACCGGCAAGGCAGGCCGCCACCCTGCCAGACAGAATCCCTCCTGCAGTGGCAACCTCCCGACGCTTGGCGACGCCTGTGTGCGCTGCCGCGGCCGCCCGCAGGTGGGGCGGGCTCTGGGGCAGGAGCTGGAGCAGGGGGCGGCGCAGGGCATGATGCGGCTGGCGGCGCAGGCGGCGCTGGGCTGGGGCAGCGGCGCAGGGCGGCAGGGTGGCGGGGCCAGCCTCTGCCTTGCCGAGTTCCGGCGGCTGGTGGACCACTTCAGGGTGCGAGCCTGAGTGCCTGTACCCGCCTGCCGGTACCGCTTTCCACGCTACCTGGGTGCCGGATCCATGGGTAAACACATGCTTAAATGTTAAAATGTTTGAACACATGTGTGAATGTTAACATGTTTGAACACAGTGCCTGTGCGGCCTGCCGGCACCACGTTCCACCCTGCTGCTTCTGCGCTCCTGGCGGGACAGTTGGGCAGCCTGCCAGTACCACTTTCCACTCCACCTGGGTGCCGGATTCATGTGTAACACATGCTTCCAAGCCATGCGCATGCATGCATGAATGAATTGATGAATGTGATGATGAATGCCCGCCTGCCGCCTGCCTCTGCTCTGGGCCACCGACGCGCCGCCGCCGCCGCATCCGCCGGGTAGGCAACGGCAGGACGCCAGGAGGGCGGGCGCAGCGCGAGCAGGGAAACACGCAGCGGGGCGTGCGCTGGCGCGCCGCATCCACTAGCCCCTTGTGCCGGCAGCCGCCGCCCACGCCTTGGTACGTGACAGGCCCGCCCCCGTCACGCGCCGTACTTGGCCGCTCGCCCCAGCTTGTACGCCACCTCTGGCAGCAGCCGCTCGGCCAGGATGCAGCTCGCGGCGCCGCGCCGCGCGACATGCTCCAGCCCCAGCCGCTGCGCTTCATCCACCCTGCGGGGCGGGAGCAGGGAGAAGGGAGCAGGGAGCAGGGCGGGCGTTTTGGCGGCGGCGGGACCCAAGCAAGGGCAGGCTGGCAGGATCTGTGGGTGGGTGGAGGCTGTGGGGGGTTGAGAACACACCGCTGTTGGCGGATCTGGCATTGCAAGAAGATTGTGTGACATGGCGGCGCAAAACTAGAGTTGCCGCATGGAGCTGCTCGCCTGATGACGCCAGGCAGGCGGTGCGCCACCAGCGCGGGCCGCAGCGCATCCACCGCCACGCTTTCCAGCCCCGCCAGCTGGTAGCTCTGCAGCGGGCGGCGCACGGGGGGGAAGTCTGCGGGCGCCGCCCCCGCCGCCGCCACCAGCGGCGGCTCCTCCTGCAGCAGCAGCGGCGGCTGCGGCTGGCTGGGCGCCTGCATGCTGGGCGGCTGCGGCCCGGCCCCGGGGCCCAGCACCAGGCTGAGCAGCACGGTGTCCCGGAAGCCGGGCACAGAGTTCAGATTCTTCAGCAGGCAGTCAGCCCACTCCAGCGCCCAGCTGCCATCGCCGCTGCCGCTGCCATCGCCGCCGCCGCCGCCGCTGCCGCTGCCGCCACCTGGCGGAGGCGGCACGCTCGCTGCATCCAGCGCCAGAATCAGCATGTCGATCACATCATCGCTTTCCTCCTCCTCCTCTGCCGCCGCTGCAGCCGCCGCCGCCGCAGCAGCAGCCGCCGCCGCCGCCGCCGCACCAGCCCCGGGATCCCCGGCGCCGGCGCCAGCTGCCAGCACAGCCGCGAGCGCCGGGTCTGCGGCGGGTGCAGCTTCCGCGGGCGGGCGCAGCGGGCGCACGTGCAGCAGCCGGGCGACGCGGGCCGCCAGCTGCGCGGGCGGCGGCCAGGCTGAACCGCCGCCGCTGCCGCTGCTGCCGCTGCCGCCGCCGCCGCCGCCGCTGCTGCTGCTGCTGCCGCTGCCAAGCTGTTGCACGGCGTAGCAGCCAGCCAGGGCGCCGGCTTGTGCCACTTCAGGCGAGTCGGTCAGCAGCACAGCCCGCAGCTGCTTGAACCTGCGGCAGCGGTTGGGAGCAGCAGGAGCATCAGCGGCGCCCGCTGTGACTTGCAGGCACACGATGAGGTGGCAGCTGCCCAGCCAAGCAGTCAGGTGGACAGGGGCTGCGCAGCCGGCTGGTCCGTCAGATCGCCGGGCGCACCTGTCGGGCAGCAGCCCCGCCGGCGGAGCATGCCCCGCCTGCCGCAGGCCGAGCAGCTGCAGCGGCAAGGAGGGCCCGCCGCTACGGCAGGCCAGCAGGCCGGCCCAGCCGCCCAGCACCGCCGCATCCAGGTGGGGCAGCTCGACGCCTTGCAGGCTGGCAGCAGAGGTGGGCACCCCGGAGAGGCAGAGCACCAGGCTCTTGGGCGGCGGGTCGAGGCGCGCGACGGCGGCGGCGGCGGTGGCGGCGGGCCGGCCAGCCAGCGGCTCCCGGCACTCCAGACAGTCGCAGGGCTCCATGCGCAGCTTGGCGCGAGGCATGGAGCGCGCTGTGGACCACAGAAGGCAAAGGACTTGAAGGGAAAATTGCGAGGCCCTGCAAGCGCGCGGTAAATGGCGTGGGCAAGCAGTGCCGCTTGAATTCAATGATCAATCGAATCAAACAATGAGGGAAGAGTACTGCCAGGTCAGCAGTCATTTGCTTCCAGCAGCCTCGCCTCTCGTCACACCCATCATTGTCCAGGAGGTGCCCCGTGCTCACCGCACCTTCCGACCACAGCGTTAAGACTCTGCCTCTCCACACCGCTGCTTGTGTACCTGCCCAGCCCACTAATGGCTGACCAGGCCTCCCTGCTGCTGCGCCGGCAGCTTAAAGGTGTGGCTGGGGCTGTGCTGGGCGCCGCAGTGGTCCGGCAGGCAGCGGGGGCGACCCCTGGGCCTCAGTTTCAACTCTCTTCGCTCACAGCCGCGGTGGGCGCCCCACACGCCCCAGCCCAATCCCAGAGTCCCGGCGACCGCCTTGGCCCCTGCTGCTCCCCGCACCCCTGCTGCGCTGCCCGCCACCTGATCACTGCCGCCGCCTCGCCTTTTGCCACTTGCGCGCGCTGCCTGCCTGCAGAGCTGACAAAGAAACCGGTGGAGGGCTTCTCGGCGGGACTGGTGGACGATAGGTGCGCGCCCAGGCTGCCGCAGCAGCTGCCCGGGGCCGCCAACCGAACAACACCCACCCGCCCCCTGGCCCTGCCACGCCGCCGCCTCCACTCGCCACCCGCCGCGGCCGCTCCCCTCTGCTCCCTGTCCTCACGCCGCTCACCTGCCTGCCCCGCCTCCCTGCCTGCCCCGACCCCCCGCCCGCCCTGCCCCGCAGCAACCTGTTTGAGTGGGCGGTGACGGTGTTGGGCCCGCCCGACACTCTGTACGAGGGTGGCTTCTTCAATGCCGTCCTCGAGTTCCCGCGGGACTACCCGCAGTCGCCGCCGGAGATGCGCTTCACTTCGGAGATGTGGTGGGTGGGGCGGGGCCGGGGCGGGGTGCAGGGGGTGGGGTTCAGGGGCGGGGTTCAGGGGCAGGCGCAGGGGCAGGGGAGGGCAGGGGCGGGGGCGGGGTTCAGGGGCAGGGGCAGGGGCGGGGTTCAGGGGCGGGGGCGGGCGTTGTTCAGAGGCAGGCGCAGGGGCAGGGGCAGGCCAGGGGCGGGGGCAGGGTCAAGGGCGGGGTGGGCAGCGGGCAGCGGCGGATGGCGCACGGCGTCTGCCGCACCAGGCAGCAGGGAGCCTTTGTGCCTCCCTGGGTCAGCCGCCCGCCGCTCCAAGCCGGCCCACACCCGCCACTCGACGCAAGCAGCACCTCCCTGCCTCGGGGACACAGCCTCTTGCCCTGCCACGCGGGGCTGCAGCCGTGCCTGCGTCTCTCCGCGCCGCCCCGCCGCCGCCGCCTCTGCCGCCACGCCCGCCACAACCGCCGTCCACCCTCTCTCCCGCTGTCCTGCTCGCAGGCACCCCAACGTGTTCCCCGACGGCAAGGTCTGCATCTCCATTCTGCATCCAGCTGGGGAGGATGCCATGAACCCGCAGGAAAGCGCGGCGGAGCGGTGGAGCCCGGTCCACACGGTGAGAGCTGGCAGGGCGGGGCGGGGCGCTGACGGCAAGCACTGCTGCTGCTGCTGCTGCTGCTGCTGCTGTTCTCTCTCCCAGCACCTCCACCTGCCACCAACGCGGACAGAAAGAAAAGCAAGGAGGAGAGGGTGTGCCTGGAGCGGCGCGGGGGCCCGACGCGGCGGCAGCCGGCGCGGCCGCCTGCTGTGCCAGCGCCGTAGAACTGCAGCCGACCCTCGCCAGCTCCAGCCCACCCCAAGCCCGCGCCGGTCGGGCCCCTCGCCCCCTGCGCTCGCTGCTCTTTGCGGACAGCTTGCTGCGCACGCCCGTGCGCGCTTCCCCCTCCGGCCGGCGTGGCGGCTGCCATGCTGTGCACGCTGTGAGTGTGGCTACTCCTTCCTTCGGGCGGCCCGCCGTGCTGTGCATGCTGTGAGGCCTGCCGCGCTTTCCTGCCGCGCTTTCCTCCCGTGCCCCCAGGTGGAGTCCATCGTGTTGTCGGTCATCTCCATGCTGAGCAGCCCCAACGACGAGTCGCCCGCAAACGTTGATGCAGCCAAGGTGCGCGGCAGAGCGCCTGGTGGCGGCATCGTGAATCACATATCATATAGATAGGATGGATCATAGATGGCCATCTATGGGGAGTCGTGTCTTCTGTGGCCGGGGGAGGAGGGAGGGAGGGAGACCCCCCCGTGAGATTCGCCCTGTCAGCTTCGGCCACCGGCGCACGCACGCCGCCGCCGCCTGCTCCCTCCCAACAACACATCTTCCGCGCCGGTCGCCCCGCAGGAGTGGAGAGACTCCCGCAGCGAGTTCAAGAAGAAGGTGGCGAGGATTGTGCGGCGGAGCCAGGAGATGCTCTAGCGGCGACGCGACCCCATGCCCCGGCTCGCCGCTCGCGCTGCGCCCGCCCGGGGCACACCCCTAGCTTCCCTACCTTACGCCCCTCTTAGCCGCACCGCCCTACCCCCTAACCCAACTTTGGAGCGCCGGGCGGGTGCGGCTCGTCTGGGCCACCCGGCGCCGCGGCCCCTCGGCCGCGCGCGCCCGCCCCAGCCGCGCCGCCCGCCCGCCTCCCGCCCCCTGCTTCCGCTCCCGCTCCGCTCGCATGACCGCTCCTCGCATACCGCAGCACATTCCTGCCTCCGCTCGCCCGCCTGCTGTGCTAATTCTTTGCCGCTCCCCTGCCGCGATTTCATTGGCGTCTGCCCGCTGCGCCCAGCAGCAGGCGCGACCCACCCAGCCCTTGCTGCCTCGCCAGCCAACCTGATGCCCCCTCCCCCCTCTCTGTAACTTGTCACACCAGGCAGGCAGAGGGCGCTGCGGAGGTGGACAGTGGCGCCGTGGACGGAGCAGCGCGGCCAGCAGGCGCCGCGAGGGCCAGGTGCGGCGGGCGGCGGCAGGCTCGTGCCCTGCTCCCACCCCTCGCGCCCGGCTCCCGCCACCTGTTGGGCGTTCATGCGGCTCCTCTCCTGCTCGCCCGTTACATGTACTGCCATGTACCGCCATGTACTGCCAAGTACCACGTGGCTGCCAGCAGCGCAGCAGCAGCAAACAGAGGTACAAGCGTGCTGCCTGCTGCTGCGGATGGTTCGAGGGGCACAGGAGGCGGCGCCCTACTCTCCCACGGTCAGGCCAAACCCGAATTTCGCGTCCTTTCGAGGGTGGTCCACTGCAGGGGGGGGTGGCAGGTGGGTGGGCTGGCGAGTTGGTAAGCAGGCAGGCAGGCGGGTGGGCAGGCACGCAGGTGGGCAGGTGGCGCGGGGACTGGACGCACACAGACCGAGCATGGCAAGGCAGGCAGGCAGGCAGGCAGGCAGGCGGGCCGCCGAGCGGCGGGGGGCGGCAGCCTGCCCCGCGCACCTTCCGCCGACAGCACAAAGTTGACGCCCACGTTCAGCCGCTCCTCCAGGAAGGCCGCAATCTTGCCGTCTGCAGGCGCGGGGGCGCGCAGGGCGGCGCGCGGGGGCACAGGCACGCGCTGAGTGGTGTGGCCTCTGCACGTGCCCGCGCCAGCCTGGCGCCATGCGCGCCCCCCACAGTGCCAGGACCAGAGCGCCACACCACGCCACACCAGACCGCGACGCGCCCAGCACACCACACCACACCAGCCCAACCACCCACACCGCCCCGCCACCCCGCGGCACACGCGTCTCACACCGCAGCGTGCACAGCGTGCGCAGCATGCCCCAAATGCCGCCGCCCACAGCACAGCGTGCGCGGCGCGCCCACCCGTGTCGATGCGGCCGCGCAGGCGGCACTGCCGCAGCACGTAGTCGTAGCCAAAGGAGGCGTTGGCCTCCCTGCTGTTCAGGTTCCACATGAAGTCGCTGGCTAGGGACACCTGCGGCGGGAGGGAGGAGTGTGTGTGGGGTGGTGGGGGTGGGGGTGGGGGGCAGAGGTGAGGTGAGGTGAGGTGAGGTGAGGTGAGGTGAGTGTGTGTGTGTGTGTGTGTGTGTGTGTGTGTGTGTGTTCAAGGCGGCCACACCTGGCGCCCCAGCACAGCGCAGCCCTTCCCGCCGATGCAACCAAAGCCGAGGCCAGCCAAGCAGTACAGCCCAAAGGCCTCGTAGGCAGCAGCCCCAGCAGTACCGCCCCGGCGGTACCCCCCCCCCACCTTCTCGCTGATCTTCTGAATGTAGGTGAGGGAGACCAGCCCCGTGTTGGCCACCTGCGCGGTGGCGACGTGCTTGTCGCCCGCGTGCCGCGCCGCCAAGCCGATGCCGCTTCAGGGAGGGAAGCGGGCGCATGGGGGCATGGCCAGGGGTGGGGGTCGGTATGAAGAGGCGGTGGACACGGCAAGAAGAAAGCGGCGCAGGGAACGGAACGGAACGGAGGCGCGCAGCCCGGGGCGGCGCCGGAGGCGGGGCCACGGGCCTCCCACCCGGCGCCAGCCGCCGACACAGCCGCCCGCCCTGCCCGCCGCCGCCGCGGCCACCGCCGACCCTCACCTGCGCCGCTGCTCTGCCAGGTAGAACACTTCGCCGCCCAGCGACAGCTGCGGGGTGACCGACTGAAAGTAGTTGGCTCCATAAAAGTTGGAGGTGCCCCACTTGAGCTGCCCGTTCCAGTCGGCGCCCTGCGCGGCGGGCACGGCGCGGCGCAGCGCGGCTTAGCTTAGTTTAGCGCAGCGCAGCGCAGCACGGCAAAGCAAAGCGCAGCGCAGCACGGCGCAGCGCAGCAAAGCGAACGCAGCGGCGGCCGCAGCGCTGGTCGGCGGGCGGGTAGGCCGGCCGCTGGGGGCGCAGCGGCATGCGCCGCCGCCGCCGGCTGCACCAACCACTTGCGCCCCCACCGCCACCCCCCTGCCCCACTGCCACCGCCTCCTGCCCCACCGCTGCCGCCACTGCCACTGCCCCACTGCGCCCACCACCTTGCCCCCTACCGCCGCCGCCGCCTGCCCACCTACCTTGAGGTCGACGTCAAACATGGCCTGGCTCATGCCCTTCTCACTGGCCACCTGGAACTGGGACTTGAGCGCAGCAAAGTCAGCCACATCATACCTGCAGCCAGCCCCAGGGGGAGCACAGGGAGAGCAGCAGGAGCAGGGAGGGCAGCGGCAGGGGCAGGGAGGAGGGTGAGGCGCGGCGGCGCATGTGAGCGGGTGTGCGCGGTGGCGCACGCGGGCGTGCGGGGCGCGGCCGGGGACGGCAGGCAGGCGGGCGCCGGGCCGCGCTTGGCGAGGGCGGCGACGGCGGGGGCAGGGGGGGCGGGCGGGCCTCAGCACATCAAAAAGAAAGAAGAAAGAAAAGAAGAAAGAAGGAAGAAAGGAAGGAAGCAAGCAGGAGGAAAGCGCGCGCACTTGACGCGCCCCGTCAGCCGCCCGTCGCTCGTGATGCGCCCCAGCATCAGGTTGCCGCGGTTGGTCACTAGGTTGGCGCCAAATTCATAGGTGCCGATGGGCATCTTGACGGCCTGCAGGCAGCGGGCAGCGGGCAGCAGGCAGCCAAGCCAGGGGGTGAGTGTGCAGCATGAGCATACGGCATTAGCGTACGGCAGGAGTGTACAGCAGCGCCTGGACGGCGCTTGTGTGCCCCCTGGCACGCAGCGCCCCCTGCCCGGCCGGCCGGCACCCAGCGCAGGCTTCCGCCGTCCCGCTGCTCGCCGGCGGAGCGGCACAGAGGGCCTCGCCACTTAATGCGCTGCGGCCGCGGCCCGCGGCCCCGGCCGGCGCGCCGCCCCTGCCCGCCGCCCTGCTTGCTGATCGCGGCGCCGCCGGTCCGGCCGGCCCCGTCGCCGCCCTCCCTGCGCGCCTGGTTGTTGGCGGTGGGTACGTCGATGTTTCCCATAAAGATGGAGTGGCTCAGGGCAAAGTTGTGGTTGAGCGGCTTGGTCAGGTCAAAGCGCAGGCCTTCAAACAAGTCCGGCTTGAGCGACACTGCAAGGTGTGGATGGAGGGATGAGCGGAGGGGAGCAGGCAGCACGGCAGCGCGATGGAAAACAGCAAAGAATGCTGGCGGCAGTGGCAGGCTGGGAGCGGGCGCTGCAGGGCCGCTCTGCCGCCGCCCGCAGGCTGCCGCCGCGAGCCTGCCCGCCAGCTGCGCTTCCACTCACTCATCACTTCCCGCTGCAGCTCCTCGTATCGCACGGGCTGGGGCAGGTTGAGATAGTCCACCTTCTTGGCCTGTGGCAGGGAGTGCATGATGGCTGCGCGATGGAGCCCTCTGCACAGCCAGCTCGCCCTAACTGGCCATCATCGCCGGCTGCAACGCCCACGGCACACCACCGCCGCTGCAACGCCATCCCGGTCACAGCCCAACGCACCTCTACTGCAGCCGCCGCCGCTGCAGCTGTGGGGGGCATGAACGGATTCACGGGTGGTGCCGTCATCGTTGGCAACTTTGCCCGCCCAGCTGCTACTGTTCCGCCAAGACCCTAAGACCTCAGCGTCTCGGGTAGCCCAAGTGGCGGGCTGGGCACGATCCAAACGATGCTGGGTCGCCCCATGGAGCTTTGGCCAGGGCTGCACAAGTGACAGGCGGGACTGAGCTGGCGGCGGGTAGGCGGAGCACCATCAAAACCTTGCTGCGGCTCCTTCTGCTGGCCAAGTTACTAGGTATGCAGGCAAAACTGTAAGCTGTCAGGAGAGCGGAGGCGGTGCAGGGTTGTTGCCAAGGCGTGGGCACGGCTTGTGGGCAAGGGAGTAGTAAGGAAACCGCTGGTGTGGCAACGCTTCCATCCAGAAGAAACATGGGTAGAACATAGGTAGAAAACTGATGATCGAGCAGCTTGGAAGAGTAACTGTTCAACCAGCCGCGGCGGCAGCCTTTGCCACGACGGCGCGCACGTACGCGCTCATCTGCCCGCGCACCGCCTCCCACCCCATGCCGCCGCCGAGCAGGCGGAGGTAGGACAGCAGGGTGGCAAACTCCGAGTCCAGGCGGTGCGGGGGCAGGTCGGCCAAGAAGGGGAGATACACCTCGTTGAAGGCCCTGCAACAGTAGCCAGGAGGTTGCCAAGTGCTGGTGATTCATCGTTGCCCGCATTGCGTGGCAATGGCGATGTCATGGCATGGCTCAGCGTGGCATGGCATGGCTCAGCCTGGCGTGCAGCTGCGCGGGCAGCCGCGGCTGCAGCATTCCGCCCGACGCTCGGGATGGGGAGCTTCCATGAGCAGGCCAGGGCCGGCCCGGGGTGCTGGGCTGCAGGCAGGCGGTGCTGGGGCCAGGGGAAGCGGGCAGGGGCACCCACCTGCGGTCGTCGCCCTCCTCCAGCAGGCCGTACACAAGCGAGAAGATGGCGGCATGCTTGGCGATGGTGCTGCTGGCTGCGGGGGCCTGCGCGGCCGCGCCGCCGCTGCCGCGCCGCTGCCGCCCGCTGTCGCCATCGCTGGCGGCCTCGTCGCCGCCTGGGCCGCCGCCGCCTGGGCCGCCGCCGCCGCCAGCCGGCGCCGCCGCCGCCACCGCCGTCGCCACCGCCTCGAGCGCCTCCCGCTGCGCCTCCAGCCACTGCTGCCGGTCGGCGTGGCCGGGCAGGTCGGGCGTCTCATAGTCGTGCCGAGCGCGCTTCTGCCCCGCCAGCGCCTGGCCGTGCCCGCCCTGCGCCGCCGGCGCCGCCGCATGGGCCGCGGCCCGGGGGCCGATTGGGCCCTGCCGCCGGTCGGCCGCCGCGGATGCCAGCTGGCGCCGCGCGCTGCCGCTGTCGTCGCCGTACAGCGGTGATCCCTCGTCGTCTGCGGTCGGGCGGCGCAGGGGCGGCCAGGCAGCAGACAAGCGTGGGCATCAGGAGCGCCCATGCCAGGCAGCAGGGTCGCGGTACGCAGCCTCAACACGGCGGGCTGCAGGCGCTGCGACGCGCGCGTCGCGTGTGATGGCGAGCAGGTGCATGCACAGGGAGAGCAGGGGCAGGGGGGGCAGGGGGAGGTGCGCCATGGCGCCAGAAGGCTGCACCTGAGCTGCCGCCGCCCATGGCGCTGGGGCCAATCTTGAGACCACCGCGCGGCGCCCACGACACCAGCCCCTTGCCCTCCAGCCACGCCCCCAGCGCCAGCGGCGGCTCGTCTGCGGCAGGCGGGGCGGGGCACGGGGCGGGGCGGTGGGGCAGGCGCTGGAGAGGAGAAGCCGGCGGGGGCCAGGGCCCGGCGGCAGGCTGGTGGTGCCGCGAGCGCAGCCTGGCTGAGGCCGCCGGCGCTGGCAGCTGGCGGCTGGCAGCTGGAGGCGCCTCCTCGCTCCCGGCGGCCCACCTGGCGGCGCCTCCTTGACCGCGCCTGGGTCGATGCGGATGGACAGGCGCCACTTCTTGGCTTTGGACCCAGAGTGGCGCTCAAAGCGGGTGAAGGAGAAGAGCGGGCGACCGTGGCCGGCGGCCACGCGCTGCTCGCAGGAGGGGCAGTAGCAGGCCACCACCTGCTGGTCCAGGTACACCACGCCTCGGATGTCGTTGCAGGTGACGGGCAGCTGCAGGCAGGGAGCAGGGCAGGGTGGGCTGGCGGGGTGGGCTGGCGGGGAGGTGGCGGGGCGGCGGAGCGGGCGGGCTGACGAATGCGGCGCTGGTGTGCGCGGTTGCCAGGGCTGGGCGGGGGCGGGCAGGCAGGCGCAGGCGCGAGGCCAGCGGGCGTGCAGGGGGCTCCCGACTGGTGCAGGCGCTGGCGAGGTTTGGTGAAGTGCGAGCGGCGGCAGGTCCCGCGCACGCGCACCTTGAGCCCCGCAACGCTGCTGCTGGGCCCCGGTCCTAGATCAGCGGTGGCGTCTGCATGCCGCTGACAGGGCAGGCGGTCGCTGCTGGTGCCCGACGTGGCTGTGATGGGTGGCGGCGGGGTGGGCGCGGCGGCCGCCGCCTGGGGCGGGTGGCTCGGCAGCGCCAGCGGGGGCGCAAAGACGGTGGCGGGCCCACCAAAGTACTGAGCGGCCGCCGCAGGGTGGTTGGCGGCCGGCAGGCTGGCCGCCAGCTGAGCCAGCTGCACCAGTTGCAGCAGGGGGTTGCCTTCCAGCGAAAAGGGCTTCTGCATGGCCTCGGCTGGCAGGCTCGCCAGGGAACCCGCTGGGCGCGCAAGCAAGCCGGAAAGTTGTGTTGCTGAGGGGTGGAGGGCGGCCAACGCGGGCATGAGGGTGCGGCGCCGGATTGCGCAAGGGCCTGTTGCGCCGCGTTCGCGGTGGTCACCCCTGCGATCCCTCGGGAGTGCTGACAAGGTGTGTTGGAGGGTGAATCGCCGGAACAGGGGCTCTGCGCACGAAGAACAGGCGGGTGGCAGGATCGAACGAGGGCAACCAATGCGGCGGCACTTGAGGCGCCACCGCCGCGCCCCTTGGACGGTTTGAGGCAAGGGGGGGCGAAGAGCGGAGCAGGTTTGGACGGGCCCAAGCCCGACTCCTGCTCTATAGGAAGCCGGCACTGCCAGGTGGCTCCAAGATGATGGCTCCAATTACACGCTGCACACAGATTAAGGCAGTCACAGCTACATTGCTGTGGCCGGAGTCAAGAGCTGGGCGGTGAACGCTCCTCACAACGTCCCCTCGACTTGTCGCCCTGGGGCGGGCTGGGCAGCGTCTCCTAGCGATTGGGGCACTCAGCGCTTGCATGTGCCCAGTGACTGAGCGCACACAGCGGCGCGCTGGCAGCTAACAGCGCTGCTTTGCCTCCCCGTCATGCTGCCGCCTTGCGCTCGTCACCGGCCTGCTGAGCACTTCCGCCTGGTCACTCTGCATGAATAGTGTGAATTTGAAGCACATGAGAATCAGTTGTTTTTGTTCAGGCTGTTTGCTGTTCTGAGAGCGGCAGGCAGCAGAGGGCAGATGATGAGGCGGTGAGATAGACACAGACCAGCCCTGTTTGAGGCCCGTCACGGCCTCCCCAGGCTGGACGCAAGGCGACAGCCCAGCTCAGGCGCGCACCGACGTGGGGAAGGCTGAGCGCAAGGAGGTGCTGAAGCAGGGTGAGGGAAGGCAGCACCAGGCTGCTAGATGTCAAGGCAGCATGTGCAAAGCAATTGACTGCTCAAAGCGGCGCCGCGCAGCGGATGGTTTGACTGAGAGCGAGCCCGTCCAGGGGCGCCGACTAACAGAGCGCTGGCATGCCTGGCAAGTATGTGTGCGGGGGTCGCTACGTTAGTGGGCATGTGGTATGCATCCGTTCAATACGTATCATCCGCAAAAGGAAAAATGGATCAAGTCCAGTGGGAGGCAGGCACAGGCCTTACATGCAGGATCCGGGCAGGAAGGTTTTGGAAGGCTCTGGAAGCTTCCGGGGGGAAGCTGGAAAGTAAGTACTGGAAGGTTCAGGAAGCTAATGCAAGGTGATACAGGTGCAATACATTCTGGTGCAGGTCAGGCCAAACTTTTAGTGGGTTTGTGCTGTGCTCAGCACACATCGCTCACAGATCGCGGCGTTGCCATCGGCGCCATGGCAGCCAAGATGTACACCGCCATCCTGGAGCAGCGAATCTCAGACTGGGCAGAGGCCAGCAACTTCAGAGCAGTAGGACAGTTTGGTTTCAGGCGCCAGCGCGGCACAGCGCAGGCAGCACTCGTGCTGCGCGCACTCCAGGACCAGCACCGCCTCAGAGGCCAGCAGCTGTGGGGCTGTTTCGTTGACTGCAAGCAGGCATACGACCGCGTGCCCAGGGACCAGCTCCGGGAGAAGCTGGCGGCGGGAACGTAAGCGTCCCTGCAGATTTTGCGATTACGCATGCTTCCGTGGAATATGTCTTGGGGCGTGCGTGGACACAGCCTGGCTGGCGGCAGCACAGGCTCTGTACACCAACGTCCCCATGTCGGTGCGCACCTCAGCCGGGCTGTCGCCCTGCTTCCAGGCCGTGACAGGTCTGAGTCAGGGCTGCCCCCTCAGCCCCACCCTCTTTGGTCTCGATATCGACAACCTGGAGGAGGAGCTGATGGCAAGGTAAAGGCAAAGGTAAAGGTGAAGGTAGTAAAGGAGCTGATGGCAGCGGCGCGGCGTGGCGAGCAGCTCGACCTCCCCAGCTTCCTCGGCAGCGGCGGCGCCGGATACTCTCCTTGCGCATGCGTTGCCGACTGCGACAGAATCCTCCAGGGATGCACCTGTAGCGCTTGCATGGTGGGGTTGGGCGTTCTGTGGAGTCAGTAAACATGGTGGCAGAGGTGCACACTGTGGGTTCGAGGTGCACAACTGGTTGGCGGTCAGCTCAGCATGCCGCACCGCTGGCGCCAGCGGAGCAACCAACTGAACGCGTCAGTGTTTCTGGCCCTCGTGGCAGCTTTGGCGATGGGCGGGCGATGAGGACTGCTGTCGCGTCCAAATTTCGCCAATCAGCTGGCGATGGCACATTGAGGATTGGCGAAATGCGGGGGAGCCACCCTTGCGCCTGGCACAGCGCAGCGGCCACATGCGGCGCCGCTGTTGCTTTGTCGGCACTTGCCTCCCTTTTGGGGGACTGGGGGCGAAGCCCCCAGCAAGCTGGCGCTTGTTTAACACTATGGAGTGAAGTTCCTGAGGAAAATTGGCCATTTCTCCTCAAAATATTGGCGATGTCAGTCATGGGGGCTGGCGACGCGCTGGCGATGTCGCCCCGCCGCCTGCCCTCATTTAGCCAGCCCTGGCTGGCGATGGCCTTCGGCCAATCGCCAGCCAGAGCCGTTTTTTGGCCCGATTTCGCCAGCATTTGGCGATTTCGCCAGCTTTCAGAAACACTGGAACGCGTACATCCATTGCGCTGTTCACTTACCTGCTGTCCCGCTACGTCAGCTGTAAGCAGCATTTGGTTGCGCCTATGGGAGTTGCCGCAAGAGCTGTTTTGGGGGACAGCACGCCCGGTGGTGCCCCCACCTTCTTTTTGAATGTCTGCCTGCTGCTGGTGGTAGTTGCCTTCGCCATTCTGGGCCTGGGGTGGGGCAAGGGAGAGGAGCGAGGGCCCATGGCGTCGGTTCCGCTGCAGCATGACACAGTGCAGAGACGGGTTGCCGCCTCGGCTGGCATCCACGGCTTTTTGCACAAGGAGGGCATGACCGACCTCCACAACTGGCACCCTCGCCACGGCCCCTACCGAGCGGAGCGGTTAAAGCGTTGGATGGCTGAGCGCAAGGAGATGCTGGAGCAGGGTGAGGAAAGGCATCACCAGGCTGCTTGCTGTTGAGGTCCCGCCGCGGGCACCCGCCGCTGTGAGAGCGGGACGGCAGCAGGGCGGCACTGCTTCCAGGCGGTACTACATTCAGGCGGCACTGCTTTCAGGCGCATGCGTGGCGCTGCGCTGAACAGGCGGGAGCCTCCTGCGCTGCCTGCAGGCAAGCTGGCGCCGCCGCTGCCGCAGCACCCTGCCTGCCAGGTGTTTGTCAACCACCTGTACAGAGTGGTCTACCTGCGCTTCGCCAAGGCCGCCTCCACCAGCCTGCTGTGCCACTTTGGGGGCTGCAGCGCCAACGCCACGGACCCCAGCCAGAAGGGACTGGGCTTCAAGCTGCTGCAGGCGCGCCGGCGCCGCGGTGCTGCGCGGGGGAGTGGCTTGGTCCGGGCGGCAGGGCTGCACATGCCGCCATGCATGTGCATGGCCCCCGCTCCGCTGCGACAGCCATCCGCCTGCCTGCCCGCCTGATGCCACACTGCGCCATGGTGCAGGAGGACATCAAGCTGGAACCCCTGGATCCAGAGCACGTGGCCGACCTGGCCGGCATGTGGCGCAGCTACTTTGTCGCCGCTTTTGTGCGCAACCCCTTCCAGCGAGCCGTGAGCGCCTACCATATGCTGGCGCGCAACCTGGACCCCGCCGGCCCAGCCGCACAGGCGTACGACTGGAACACCTTCTGCGCCGACCCCGCCGGCTTCCTCGACCTGTGCAAGCAGGACGCCAAGTGCAACTCGTGAGCGCCGCCTCGCCGAGCGCAGCGGTGCACGGGTCCGGCTGTGCCGTGGCTTGCGCGGTCAGCTGCCTGGCCTCCTGGCTAGCTGGCCTCTGGATGGCCGTGCTGCCACGCTGCCCCTGCCTGTGCTGCATGCAGCACAAAGGACGCGCAGCACATCTTCGGGCACATCCACCCGATGCACGACTGCCTCATCACGGAGGGCGGCGGCTGGGCGGTGGACTTCATAGGCCGGGTGGAGCACATTGACGCAGACCTGCAGGCGATGCTGGAAGAGATTGAGCGGCGGCGGCCCGCGGAAGCGCCGCCGGTGCGCCGGGCTCGCCTGCTGCCCTGCCCTTGGTGGGAAGGGGAGTGCTGGGCGTCGGCTGCCGGCCTCCGTGCTGCACAGCGTGCGATGCCCTTGCTGCGCTGCTGATGCACCCTGTTCCTGCCCGTGCATCGCCTCCAGGTGAAGCCGCTGCAAGGCAGCCTAGGGAATGTGAACGGCCGCAGCTGCGAAGGGGCGACAGGAGGTGGGTAGGGAAGCCTCCCTGCTGCAGCCGCAGCCTCATGTTGAAAAAGCAGGCGGCATGCTTGCCCACCTCACACGTGCCTGCTGCAGTACCGCGCCCTACCCCTTGCCCTCCCAGCCACTCGTTGGCATGCCATGCTGGAGCGCTCCCTTGATCGCGCTGTTTTGCGCCTGGGACACCTGCGCGGGATACCTGCAGGCTTTGGCGTCGACACGGCCAAGGAGCAGTACTGCGACCCCGCCGAATACTACCAGGGCGGGCACGCGCAATGCTACCGCCAAATCCAGCACCACTATTACAGCGACGTGCACGCGTTGAGACTGGCCTGACCTGCCAGTCACATTCCCTGTTGCCGACTGATACTGTTTTCCTGAATACCTTTCCCTCTTTAATCTGTTTAATGTGTCATCTCAGTCAGAATTTCCGGTGCAAAAAAAACTGGACAGCTCGACATGATTGTACAGCCTCCTCAATTGTTGCAGCGGCTTCGTTGCCCACGCGCCACGGCGCACGCGTCACGCCGCCGCCGGCAGCAGGCCGCTGTGGCGCAGCAGGGCCTCGGGCGTGGGGTCGCGGCCGCGGAAGTCGCGGAACACGAGCCCCGGCTCCCGCCCGCCGCCCAGCGCCAGCACGGTGTCGCGGAAGCGGGCGCCCGTCTCCGCCACCGCCGCCTCATCCTCCAGCCCCACCTCCTCAAACGCAGCAAAGGCATCTGCAGCAGACGCGGCAGGAGGCCGAGCGTGTCGTGTTGGTTAGATGGTGCCGGCCTCGTCCCTTGATCAGAAACCACCCGACACCAACCACCTCCAAACAGTCGCAAGTGATGACCGGCCCCGCTATATTTTTCAGGAGATCCAGGCATGTGGCTGTGCAGGCACGGCTCACCAGCACTGAGGACCTCGGCAAACTTGTAAGAGTAGTAGCTGCACAGGAGTGGTGGAAAAGCGCGTGGGGCAGTGGTGTGCATGGCGGGAGAGCATGACGACAGCATACAATAGCCTCTTGAGGGGGGGTAAGAACATCATGCCACAACGCATCGCCAGGCCGCCTGCCCGCCACCTGCCGCCACCTGACGCGGCGCTGCCTCCGCGGCGGCTGTGCACCCACCCGGCGCTGTAGCCGCCCGCAAAGATGTGTGAGAAGGAGCAGAGGAAGCGGTCCTCTGGCAGCGGCGGCATCACCATCGTGCGCTTGGCCATCGCCTGGTCCCGGTCAAACACGCTCTCCCCCTGCACCGGCGGCAACACAAGGGCCAGCAGGGCGTGCAAGCACGACCGCCTCGGCACGTGCGGCGGGTGACAGCTGCCCATGCAGGCTGGGGCGGTGTGGGGTCGGACGCCAGGGGCAAGCAACAACGTGCAGCGGGCAGCCAGCGTTGCGCAGGCCGACGCAAGCAGCCGACCTCGCGGCGGCAGCGGCGCCGGGGCGGCAGCGGCAGAGCAGCATCGGCAGCTGCAGGGCGTGCAGCCTCACCTGGCCCGGTTTGAAGCGTGCATGCAGCTCCAGGTCCACGCTGGCAAAGTGGACCTGGCGCAGGGTCATGCTGCCAGAGCTGCGCCACGACGGCAGAGGAAGCAACGGCAATGAGCAGGCGGCACGCACGCGCGCCTCGCGATAACGCAGGCGGCAGGCGCAGCCGTGGCCATGCACCCGCAGGGGAGGGAAGCCGGGCGGCGGCGAGGGCGCGGGCGCAGCAGGCGGCGCTAGGCGCGGCGCAGCGCCAGGCAGGCGGGCGCTCACCGGTAGGTGCGGGCCGCCAGCAGCCGCTGGTACAGCTCCTCCGGCAGAGGCTCGCCGCTGTCATAGTGCCGCGCGAAGCTGTACAGCGTCTTGCGGTGGTAGCACCTGCGGGCAGCGGAGCGGCGCAGGGCCAGCGGGCATAGGTGCCGGGCGCGGGAGCCAGGCCCCGCCCTGCCCTCCCTCCCGCCGAACCGAGCCGCCACGCCAGGCGGCCTCCTCAACAGGCTGCCCCCTGGATGGAACAGGTCAGTAAATTGGTACTGTTTTCTTTCTTTCCACCCTATTGTCTTTCTTCTTTCTTTCCAGCCCGCTCCTTTCCACCCTCACCAGTTCTCCATGAACTGCGAGGGCAGCTCCACGGCATCCCACTCGACGCCCCGGATCCCCGCCACCAGCCCCTCCTGCTGCTCCGTCAGCATGTGCTGCGCAGCGTGGCCAAACTCGTGGAAGAGCGTCTCCACCTCCCTGCGCCAGGCGGGGGCGAGCGGGGAGGGGGGAGAGAGGAGGGGAGGGGAGGGAGGGAGGCAACAGGGGCAGGTGAGCCAGCGCACTGCAGGGGCAGGTGAGCGAGCGCATTGCTCCGGCTCTGGGCAGGGCGGGCCTGTGCTAGAACAACACCAGCGAGGGGTCGGGGCGCCGCAGTCTCCCCCCCAGCCCCACCTGAAGGTCATGAGCGAGGGCTTGCCGCCCACCGGCGGCGTCTGGTTGCATACCATGTGCGCCACGGGCAGCCGCACCTCCTCCCCCTCCACCGCAAACAGCCGGCTCTGGCCGCACACCTCGTCCATCCTGCGCACGCGGCGCAGGCAGACGGGCGTGGCAGGCAGGCAGCACAGGGGGTGGGACCCGTGCACGGTACCACCAGCACGGTACCCACCAGCAAAGCCACCAACTTCGCCGGGAACCCCAGCACGGCGCCGCCACTTGGGCACCAGCGGCGGCTGCAGCAAGAGGCTGTACCGCCGGTACCGGCGGCGACGCGCCGCCCCTCGCCACGCGCGGTGCTGTGCCACCCCACGCTGGTCGCGGCAGGGCCGGCTCAGGGCCGCGGCAGGGGCCGGCGAACATCTCACCACGCGCCGCCGCGCTTCTCTGAGGGCCGGCTGTAAGGGTCAAGGTAGAAGTACGCCTTGGGGCGGCCGCCCTTCTTCACCACAAAGAAGCGAACATCCTCGTGCCACACCGGCGCCTTGCCGTCGGCGGGCTCGATGTCCACGTCAAACAGCCGCTTGGCCAGCCCAAACAGGCCCTGCGATGGACGCAGCGCAGCGGGCGGTGACGACGCGCTGCGCGGCTGGGGGCGTGCAGGTTGCAGGTGGGGCGCTGGCAAGCGGCGGTCGCTTCCAAACAGCCGAGGAGCTCGGGTTGCAGCACGCATCACTGGCGCAAGGGCCTGCCAGTGAGCCTGCCAGCAGCCAGCAGCCAGCAGGCTGCCCGACCCATGACCAGCAGCCCGGCATATTTGCAGCAGCCGGCCAAAGCGGCGCACCTCCAGCACATTGGGCAGCGCAAAGTAGGGGCGCAGCTGCTCCTCCTCCAGCGCATACTTGGCCTCCTTCAGCCGCTCCGCCCAGAAGCTGACGTCCCACTGCGGCGGCGGCAAGCGACAACACAGGAAAACGTGCGTCGGGACAGGCGTCGGCGCAGCAGGCGGGGCCGAGCGTGCCGGCTGCACACACAGCTCAACCCCCCTGCCTGAAACGCGCCCAGCCTGGGCGCATGCATGCACACCAAGCAGCGGCGGCGCGCGGTGGGGCGCCGGGCGAGGAGCACACCTGCTGCAGCGGCTCTGTGGAGCCCTGCTCTGCGGCAAACTCCTGGATGTCTTGGAGGTCCCGCTTGGCTGCCTCAAAGGAGGCGCCCCGCAGCTCCTCCAGCAGCTGCTCCGCAGTTTCCAGGGTGGCCATCTGCGCGGGGACGGGGCCAGGCCGGGCCGGCAACAGCAGGTCAGCACACGCACGGGCCAAAGCGGAGGTGACGCCCTGCGCTGCAGCACCAAGGCGCGAGGCGCGCTGGAGCGGTGCAGGGCAAACCACGGGGGGTGCGGCTGCTGGCAGCAGCTGCCCTCTCCACTGCTTCCTTGTCTCTGGTTACTTCTTTACTTCTTTCTTGTTATAAAAATTCAATAAAGAAAGGAGCCCGCCCACCTTGCTGGCCATCGACACCTCGGCAAAGTTGGGGAAGCCCAGCAGCTCCGCCTTCTCCTGGCGCAGCGCCAACACCTGCGCGGCCCGAGGCGACAGTGCAGCGGGACGCACAGTCGTTCATGAGGCTGTATAAAACATAAGCATGTGCGACGCAGGGCCGTGTGGGCGGGTGCGAGGGCAATCGCCCCTGAAGCGTAGCCTGGCGCACCGGCACGGCAGCACGGCGCGTAATGCTGGGCAGCACAGCAGGGCGCTGACAACCGCATGCCCAGGGTACACCTCCCCTGCTGGGCTGCCCGCCCGCAGCTCCCCGCCCGCTGCTCCCCGCTCGCCTTTTCGATGATGGGGGTGTTGTCGATGTCGCCAGACGAGGCGCGGGTGATGCTGGCGCGGTACATCTCCTCCCTCAGCGCACTGCACCACAGCAGGCCCAGCGGCAGGCCATCAACCGTCAGGAGCGACTCAGACCGCGCCCCAGGCTCAAGGCACCGCCCCACAGGCTTCACAGAGGGTACGGGCCAGGAGGGCCAGCCCTGCGGGGAAGCCAGAGACGCCACTCCCGACGGTTCCTCACCGGTTCTTGGCGTGAGTCATCACCTGCGGGGCGGGCGGGGCAGCGGGGGCAGCGGGGGCAGTCGGCAACCGCAGACACGTGCATGGATGAATGGCGCTTGCGTGTTGCACTTGATGCACACGTCGCTATCCATGAGGCCTGATCATCAAAGTTCCACTTTGCACCCAAACGCTGATTCAAGGATCCGCCCGCCTGCTGATTCAGGGATCCACCCGCCCCCAAGAAACAACAGTATAACTCACCGGGAAGTAGGAAGGGAAGTCCAGGGTGAACAGCCAGGGGCCTGCCTCGGGGGTGGCCCCCTCGTGGCCCTCCTTTGCCGCCTGCTGCGCCGCCAGCGCCAGCGCTGGAGTCGCGCAGGGCAGGCAGGCCATGATCCGACATCAGGCAAACGAATCCAGGTGGACGGCCCGGCGGGTAGCATGAGCAGGCAGGCGCGCAGGCAGGCCAGCCACCCAAGGTAAGCAGGCCAGCCCCCCCAGCAGCATCCCCTGCCTTCCACCCAACCCCAGCCCACCCGACTCGGGCAGCCCCTCCACATCCGCCTTGTCTGTCAGCAGCTTCTTGTAAGCCTTGGTGCCATCCAGCACGTTGTTGCTGCCACACGGGAGGAGGAGACACATGATGCGGCTCAGGCTGGCGGCGACTCTGGCGCCAGCCAGACAGCGGAGGTTGCTGGCACTGGCCGGGCAACACCCAGGCGCCACAGCTGCACCCAGCCAGCCTCTCCCTCGCATCCAGCCCCACGCACGCACCACAGACCACACACCCAGGCGCCACGGCTGCACCCCAGCCACACCTGAACTTGGTGCTCAGCTGGCTCAGCTCCTGCTGGATCTCGTTGAACCGCTCCTTGGCCTCGCCCTGCACGCATGGCAGGGGGTCGGGTGGGCCCACAGGGCAGCCCTGCTGAGCGCAGCGCACCGCCGGGCGAGCTGCAGGCCGTACGGCGCCAGCCGGGACATGCTGCTGTCTGCGGGACCCCCCAGCAGCACGCGGGCTGCGCATGGCAGGCAGGCAGGCAGGCAGGCACAGCGCTGCACCCGTCATGCAGGCTCCAATTGCTGCAGCCCCGCGCACCTCCAGCGCCACACCGCCCAGCTTGAAGTCGCGCAGCTCCCCCTCCACAATGCGCTGCTGCGCCTCTGACAGCTGGCCCCAGGAGGGGCCCTCCCGCAGCGCGCGGAACGCCTCGTACAGCGGCTTGCTCTGCAACGGATGGGGAGGTGGTGCCCAGGCAGGCGCGCTGGAAGTCAGGCAGCTGCTCAGGCTGGCAGCACGGAGACGACCCGAGCGTGGCAGAAACGACCAGATGCATCGGGCAGGAGGCGACGGGGCTGCTGGGAGTGTGTGCACCTGCATGCTGCAGTGCACCGGCAGCTGGCAGGAACGGCTGGCTGCCTGCGGGCGTGCCGCGGTTACCCACCTGGGACAGGCGCAGGCTCAGCTTCACACGCTCCGGCTGCACCTCCTCCACGGCCTGCAAATCATCGATAGAGGATCCACAAAATGACGGGCTCATGTGGAGCGCCAGGCACAGCCGCCGCCTTGGCTGGCGTTTGTGAGGGCTGCTAGTGCTGGCGTGAAATGCAGCCCAAAGTTCCCAACTCGAGAGGGCCAGCACACGACAGCAGGGCGCCGAGTGCAGGCATGCCCGGCCCCGGCCGCCCCACCCGCCCTGCCATCCCACCAACCCACTCGCCCACACCCACCCACCTTGCGCAGCTCCTCTGTGTCCTTCACCGCCTTGAGGTGGCTGACGGTGCCCCAGGCGCGGCTCAGGCGGTCCACGATGCGCTCCAGCGGCTGCACCAGCCCCTCCCAGCTGGGCTCCACGCTGGCCTCCAGCCGGTCCACCTCAGCGTGCAGCTCAGCCAGCAGGGCGCGGATGCCGGGCACCACGTGCTCCGCCTTGACCTCGGAGTAGGCCGGGAAGGGGGAGTCCTGCAGCGGAGTGAGGAGGAGCAGGAGCGGGCGAGCGCGTCAGCGTTCCGGGCTGGGGCGAGTCGGTGATTGGCGGCGGTGGCGGCGGGCCGGTCAACAAGCAGCGGGCAGGAGCGAGCACCTGAGCATGTGCGGCGGGAGGTGGCATTGGGCAGGAGTACACTAAAGTTGCCAACAACCAGGGCTGCCTCATGGCTGCCATCCAAGGTGATCAACTCACCGTCAGCAGTGGGTTCCCTCCTGTGATCTGGGGCTCGGTGGATGCATCCATGGTAGCGGAGGAAGAGCAGACGAGGCGGCGAGGGTAGAAGGCGGGGGAGCGGCAAACACCAGCGCCGGTGGCAGCAGAGGAGGCCAGGGGCCGAGGAGCAGCGAGCGCGGTGCAGACGGGCCTGAGTAGCAGCAGGCGTGTGGCGACGAGCACTCTGGTAGAGTGGGAGACAGCAGTGCGCATCGTTTCTGGCCACCTCCAGCCAGTCAATTGATAATTGAGCCTGTCTAATGGCCGATCTCGTGGTTCTAGAGGTGGACGCAGTGGCAGGACCCATGCGGCGATCGCAGTACGCCGCTCCCGCCACTCAGCGTTGCTCCCGCCGCATGCCCACAAAGAGATCAGGAACCTGCCATGTGAGCACACATACTCAGCCCAAACTACTGGTATGTGGATCACTGCAGCATGCAGATTCCCATCCGCAGCTGTGCCACCTAGTGCCCCGCTCCCTGCAACTGCTGAATATTCGACGTCTGTTTCACACATTGAAGTCTGTGACCAAATACTGTACGAGGGGGGAGGGAGCGCAAGTGAATCATCTGCTGCCCAAATAAGAAGTGGCAAGGTGAGGATGCATGAAAAGGAGAAGTAGTAGCAAATACGACGAGACTAACAGAAGGCAGGCCTGTGTGGCTGCTGAACAAACTGGAGTAGGGGAGTGGAAGAGCATCAGTGCTGGATTCGTTCGTGGTCCATCTATCAAATTCTGGCATACATTTGTTGGACAAGGGGGTGGCTGCTGTGCCGGCGGCACATCGGTGCAGACCGCTGGCAGGCAACACCGTTCGGGCGTTGCTTCTCACAGCCAGTCAGGGATCAAACGACAGAAGCGCCTGGATCAGATTGCCCTGCTTGTGGGCCTTCACCCGGCCTTTGCCCTGCACCATGAACCAGCAGCGCATTCAGCATCAGACTGCAGTAGGTTCTAGGGGGTGGCCCTTCTCCCGTCAACCTATGCAGCAAGCGCCAACAAGCACAGCCAACAGCAACATGCAGCGTGCACGATCATGCATGGCAGTTCCATTGCAATGACAGGATCATATGGCAGTGTGCGCACCAGGCAGCATGGGCAGATGGTGCCCTCTTCAAATGTAGGATGGTCCTCAAAAGAAACCTGGCCTGAGCCGGCGCAGACTTTGCAGGTCACCCGGCCATCATTCGTGGGCTGTGCTGCCTTGGGCTGGGCTGCACGTGCTGCGGGCACCGGGGGTGCCACGACGACGGCCGCACGCGTTGCTGCTACAGTGGTAGTGGGCTGCGCCGCTGCGCTGGAACTCGGCTCGCTGCCTGCCGCCTCGCCGCCGCTACTGCTGCTGGTCTCGCCACGGTTGTTGCGGGCCACCCAGAGGGTCACGCCCACGCTGTAGACGAGCAGAACGCCGACCACGAGGGGCGACACTCGGGCGCTGCCGAGGCTGCGAGCCGCCGCCGCCCACCAGGCCGGCAGCGTCCTCACGGCGATGCGACCCGCCACTCGCAGGAGGGGCTGCGCTGCAGAAGCTGCCACTCTGGTGCTGCCCCTGACCGCTGGCCTGGCCAGCAGCGACGCGGCCGAGGGAGGCTGAATCCGCAGCCCAGAAAGCTGCACGAAGGCGGACGCCCTGCTGCACAGGCGGCTCTGGGGCCGTGTGCCGCTGGGAGTAGAGAGCGCAGACTGCATTTTGGTGGTCAAGCCCCAACCCCCAACAACGGGGGGTCGCGGCTCCAACAGGGAGGAGGGCAGGGCGCTGCTGGACGTGTTGTTGGCCAAAGGAATGAAGGATGGGCGGGTGGTGGCTGGTGAGGTGAGAACTCGTGCGTGCCAGCTGGAGCCAGGGCTCTGAGCAGGGTTCTGAGCAGGGTTCCTTTTGCTCAACGCATTATTCTCCTCTCTAGAGCATGCATGTGTCACTCACTACATTATATAAATAGTTCTCACGCCTGCAGGCGGTGCTGAGATGGGGACCTTGGATGCTTCGTTGACTTTTGCTGCCGCTCCCTGCTCTCCCGTGTGGCATGGGTGCCCTGGGAGCGCTTAAGGGGAGAGGGAGATGTCGAGGAGGGGTGCCGCCCCGCCCGGCAGAGTGCGGGAGCGCCGCCGCCCCGCCACCGAGGCGCAGCCTGGCGTTCGGCGCAACCAGCCATAGCGAGACATAGGTGCCGTTGAGGGGGACACAGGCAGAGCGGGCGGCGAAGCTATCGCTGCAGCTCAAGGTGCGCTGGAATGGCCCACACCGGTACGCTGACACCCGTCCGGTGGCTCACGCCTGTACGCTGCGCCGCCCACCACTACTCCTCCATACCGCCATTTCCAGCCTGCCGCCTCTTTTCCCGCGGCAGTGGGCGCCTGCACGCTGGTCCTGATGTGCCTCTCCCTGCTGCCGTGTTTGCCTGCCCGCAGATTTGCTCAGTCGCAGCTGTTCCCGGCTGACATCGACGGCCCGTGTCGCCCGCTGAGCCGGCGGGCACAGATCATAGCGCACCAACCCGCAGCTGCTGGCCTGGATCATGAAGGCCGGCCCCTCCTGGCAGGCAATCTGGGTGCCACAGAGGTGGGTGCTCTGCCTGGCTTGCACCGTGCACCCATGGTTGGCCGTGCACAAGCACAGGCAAGGAGTTGGCAGGGGCTTGAGCAGCAAGCAGGGTGTGCTTGTAGAGGGGGTGGGTGGATGGGCGCGGGCGCCTGCCATCTCTTCTGGCGGCATGTGAGGCGCGGCCCACCACCATGCATCTGCAACGGCTGCGCTTGTTGCCTGGCCTGCTGCAGGGTTGCTGGTCTGCATGGAGTACAGCCGGTAAAAGTGCCGCTGCCCTCCCCGCCCCCCCCGCCTGCAACCCGTCACTGTCCTTATCACACGTTGTGTTACAACTATCCCGAGGGATTTCAAAGAGTTGTTGTTGTATGGTACAGCAGCAGCAGTGAAGAAGAGTATGGGTGGGGGAGACCTGTGAATGAAAGAAAGGCTGGGTGGCGCGCCGCCGCGGAGCCGCGGCTGCAGGGCGCTGCCCGCCGGCGCCCCGCGTCGTCATGCTTCATCCCTTGCAACAAAGCGACAAAACCTATAGTAGCGGCGCGGGGCACGCGCGTATGCATGGCGTGCGCCGGCCGGCTGCCGGCTGCAGCGGGCGCCTGGCATGGGTGGGGGCGACGGCGCGTCGTGTGCAGGGCCGGTGGTAGTGCAGTCGGGGTGTGTGTTTGTGCGTGGCTACCAGCCCGCCAGCTGGGCGCCTAGGAGGTGTAGTCGATGCCTGCACAAACACATGGGGCGGGGCCAGGGCAGCAGCGGGTTTCGGCAGGTGGGGCTCAAGGGCCGGGCTGCCCAGCACCAGCGCTGCAACATGCCACATGACTGAGACTGGCCCGCCGCCCCCTGCCAACAGCGGCAGCAGCAGGAAACCTGGCGGCGGGCAGGCGGCCACGCACCGGCGGCGGAGGGGATGGCCGACACCATCTTCTTGTCGCCGTTGAGCACGCTGATCTGGCCGTCGGCGTCCACTGCGGGCAGGCAGGGCGCAAGCAGGCGAGGGCGATGGAACAGGTGTGAGAGAGCGGGAGAGAGAGGGAGCTGGCACCCCACCAGGCCTGCTCACACGCAGGCTCGCCGCCTCGGGCGCCCGCGCCAGCCTGCCGCCCCGCCTTCCCCTGCTCCCCCCCGAGGCATGTATCCACCCCCCTCCTCCTTCCGTTCTCTTGCTGTCCTCTCATCCTTCTGTTCATTATCGCCATCAAACCATCAGCAGCGCGGCCCTGAGGCTCACCATCAATGATGACGGAGTCGCCCTCCTTGATGTCGCCCGCCAGCATGCGCTCCGCCATCGAGTCCTCCAGCAGGCGCATGATGGCGCGGCGCAGCGGGCGCGCGCCGTACGCCGGGTTGTACCCCTCGTCCACCAGCCGGTCCTTGAAGCGCTCTGCAGCAGGGCGGGGCGAGGAGGCATAGGTTTGTTTCTGTTGTTGTTGTGGTTGTTGTTGGTTCAAAGCGGCAAAAATCCTTGGGTCTGCGAACCAGGCGGCGGCCGCGGCGGCAGGGCTGAGAGCAGCCGGGGCCTGTGCCGCAAGCTGCTCTGCGGATGTGCAGACCGTAAACACAAAACAAGCAAACACGCGTCGCGGGCCGGCCGCCGGCAGCGGGGCCGCAGCGCGCGCACGGCGCGGCGTCCCCGCCGCGGCGTCCCTGCTGCGCTGCACGCGGCTGCCGCAAGGCCTGGCGCACGCGATGCATTGCTGCCCCCTGCAAGCTCAATAAAAGTGCTGAGCTCGAGCTCACCCGTGACGTCAATCTTGATGCCCTTCTCCTCAGCCCGCTTGAACACCTGCCGCAGCATGATGTCGGCAATCTGCTTCACCTCCTGCTTGGTCAGCTGGCGGAACACGATGATCTCGTCCAGCCGGTTGAGGAACTCGGGGCTGCGGGGAGGGAGGGGGAGGGGGAGGGGGGGGCGGGGACCGGCCAGGCGGGGAGGTTGGCAAGGGGGGCAGGTGGCGTGGTGGGCACCTTTTTACTCGGCCGCTGCCCTGCCCTGGCCTGGGCTTGGGCTGTTGCTGGAGGAGGCCTGCGCCAGCGCTCCACGCCCCACACCCCGCCGCCGCTGCCGCCCTGCCCTGCCCCGCCCCGCCCTGCCCTGCCCTGCCCTGCCCTGCTCCCACCCCTGCAGTACCGCCCCCCCCCTCACCGGAAGTACTGCTTCAGCTCCTCGTTCACCAGCGACTTGATGCGGTTGTAGGAGGAGTCCTCCTCGGAGTTGTCCAGCTGGAAGCCGATGCCGCCGCCGCCCTTCTCGATGACCGAGGAGCCGACGTTGGAGGTGAGGATGATGAGCGTGTTCTTGAAGTCCACAGTGCGGCCCTTGGAGTCTGCGGGAGGGGGCGGGGGGCGGGGGCGCGGCGGGGGAGGGTCAGGCACGAGGCGGGGAGGCGAGCCTGACACCAGCCCTAGCCAGCCCCATCATATGCCTTGCACAGGCGGGCACGCCTGCTATGTTGAGGCCCGCCCAGCCTGCCCGGGCGGCGCACCGGTGAGGCGGCCGTCCTCCAGGATCTGGAGCATCATGTTGAAAACATCTGGGTGCGCCTTCTCAATCTCGTCAAACAGAACCACCGTGTACGGCCGCCGCCTGCGCCGGGTGGCAGGCAGGCAGGGGTGGCGGGCGGGCAGGGGTCAGGGGGGCAGGAGAGCGGCGGCGCCAAAGAGGAAGAGGCCCCCGCAGAGGCATGCGTGCGTTGGGGGCCACAGCCTGCCACCTGCACAGCCGCCACGCACCCAGCGCCGCGGCCGCCTGCACCCCTCCCCCCCAAAAACAAGCAAAACAAGAGAAGAAAACGCACACCCACGACCCACACCACACACACACATACAGACACACATACACACCTGACCGCCTCGGTCAGCTGGCCGCCCTCGTTGTAGCCCACGTAGCCGGGTGGCGAGCCGATCAGCTTGCTGACGGTGTGCCTCTCCATGAACTCGCTCATGTCCAGGCGAACCATCGCCTCCTCCGAGCCAAAGTAGTAGGAGGCGAGCGTCTTGGCCAGCTCCGACTTGCCCACGCCGGTGGGGCCTGCGGGCGGCGGCGCGGCGGGGGGCGAGGGTGAGGGCCGGGCAGCGCAGGGCGGGGCAGCGTGGGCGGGGCGGCGCAGGGGCAGCGTGGGTCGTGTGGCGCAGGGGCAGGCCGGCACGCAGGCAGCAAAGCAGTGGCTGGCAGGAAGCCCGCCGCCGGCTGGCTGCGCGTCCCGCGTCGCCGCGGCTGGCTGCAAGCGGCACCCACACCCCGCTCCCCCTCCCCTCCAC